AAAACAAGAAAATTTTATGGCATGCAAATTATGCCTTATAAACCTTACATTAAAAACAAATAGATTTGTTTTAGTTAAAAGGCAGGAGCAGCCCTGTGTGGGGAGCAGACACTGGATACCAACTAGTGACTCCTGCTGCAAGGCCACTGCCTATGGCCCTACAGTCTGCCCCCTGATCTCCCATGCTGGCTGTGGCCCAGGCCCGAGCACACACTTGCTGTGCCCAGAACCACGCCGCTTAGACCTATGGAGCAGGCTGGGGCTTCCCCTGCCAGCACAGGTCAGCACAGGCCCTGCCTGCCTGCATCAGCACTTCCCTTGTGACTGTCCTCCCTGGTGGCCTTGAACACCCCCCACGAGGGACTGAGAGTCTGGAACCTCAAGCACACAACCTGGGCCCTATACCTGACTGGGGAGAAGCCACGGGCCTCAGGCTATGGAAGGTCACATTAAGGTTGTACACAGTAGCTTTAGTTCCTTCAGGGATTTATTAAGGCATTGAGCACAGTGTCATTTTTAGCCAACTGAACTGAATACAAGGAAATCTATCAGGACCTGAGGGATTTACCTTTAAGGTTAATGGTGAGGAGGAGAAGCTGAAAGAAGATTTTGAGTAATACCTGCATGGCTCCCGCCTGTGTCCCTTAGCTGGGAGCGCCAGCCTAGGAGTTCCTGGAGATACCTTAAAGGTCCCAACACCGGTGCCCAACAGGCTCGTAACCCTCCCACCTGGTGCCAGTGGCAGAAGGGGCTCCCCGGAGCACTACCTGGCTCCTCCACACTGGTGGGTGGAGAACAGGGTTTGGCTTGGCCACACGTGAGGCACAGAGGCAGTGGGCAAGCAGGGGGCAGAGCCAAGAGAGCCTTGGACACCATGCAAGGGCCGGTACATGAAGGACGAGGGAGACTCTGCCTGGGCCCTACCTGCAACTGCTCAAACTTTCTTCCACTTAACAGCTCATTGTTTCTGGGGACACTGGGAGAAAAGAGACAGGAAGGAAGGGTGGGAGCGAGGAGAGAGAAGCGAGTCCCCATTCAGTGGAGGCATCAGCCTGAAAGCCCTGACTGCTCGTGGTCACTGGAGGCGCTGAACTGCCTCTCCACCTTCTTTGGTCCTTGATCTTGAGTCCAATGTCCACCTTCTTCTCAAAGAAGTTCACCAGCACGGACTCCGTTAGGATGGAGGCCAGGATCTGCTCAAAGGAGATGCACCAGTCTGTGTCCACGGTGCCCCCACAGCGAGCAGTGGCCTCAGGACTGCGAGCCTCCCCACCCACCAGCACTGTGTCATCTGCCAGGTCCTCGCACTGCAGAGAGCCTGTGCTGACCACCGAGTAGGAGGACATGGACATGTCATCTTTGGTTTCGTCGTCAGACAGAAGCTGGGAGGGGGATCCCTGCCCCTCGCCGCTGCCCCCTTCACCCACCACCTGGCTTTCCTGTGGTGTCTTCCCAAGGTAGGTATCACCCCCAGCTTTGGCCTGGGGATCCCCTGCGGCTGATGGCTGAAGCTCCAGGGCTGGGTCATAAGCGGGGTTGGGGGTTGGCGCTTCATCCTCCTCAGGGGCACCATTCCTGGGCTTCCTGCCTGGCCGTACCGAAAACCTCTTCCCCACCTCGCCGATGCGGAGCAACAGGCTGGCCACCGTGGCAATGGCGTGGTACAGCTCCTGCTCCATGGGGTCTTCACTGAACATGTTGTACAGTGTCTTGCACAGCTCAATGAACTGCTCCTGGGGGTTAAGTCAGACAAAAGGCAGAGCAATGGTGAACGGCGGGTCAGCTTGCCCTGGGGTCAGCTGGGTGTTCTAAGTGGGGGGTGGCGGGGAGGGTTTGTTAGTTGTCTCCACACACCTCTATCTTGCCCTGTCCATTTCACAGACTGGGACACAGGCTCAGCGAGGGAAACTGGACTGGCACAGCCTTCAAAAGACTATGTTTCAGCACAGAAACTATCTGGAGTTTCTCCTTGCCTCCATGTCCAATCTTTAGCAGAGATGAGCTCATTTCAATCATTACTTTCCAAATCCAGTGACCACAAGGACTTCTTCACTGCTTTGTAAACACCCCAGACTTTCTATCTTTAATAAGAGGTGACTTCAACTCTGTCCCTTATGAGACTCTTCAGAAGATGGTGACAGAGAAGCACAGCCTGGTCAGCCGAAGGGGTATGGAGGTCAGGTTCCAGGCTCTGAAGCCATACTTTCAGACCTCTTGGTCTGAGAGCTGGATACAGCCTCACTCCATGGGGCACCCCAAGCATAGGCATGTGGGTGAGAAAGCACCCAGACTGCAGGCTGCCCTCTGGGCAGAGCAGGGCCTTGCTTAGGCTGCAGTTGGAGAGCTGCCTCTGGTTATACACCTGCGCTCTGAATATAGGGCCTTGGTTTTGAGGTCCTGAGCAGGACACCAAGTTCCCCATCCAGAGACCAGCAAATGAAGAGTCAGCCATGAGGACAGGTGGGTCTGTATGTGCCCAGTGCCTGTGCTGGGTCTGGAGGTGGAGCAGGAAGGGGTCTTGTGAAAGGTGGTACATGTCTCTGCCCGAGGGAGTCTAACTTTCCCCTGTGCTTTCTGGTTCACAGATACTGATTAAATGAAAGCAAACCATCTCCATGAAACAGTGCCCTAGACAAGGCCCTAAAGCAACTGGCTGGCTGTCTTTCTGGAATCATCTATGACAGCCTTCTGACCAGCGGCTCCAGAGGTTGGCACAATTTTCACCCTCCATGGTTGCTGGGCATGCAGGTGGTGAAGTGCCCAGCGGGAGGGCCCTGTCTTGGTCAGAATTCTCCAGAAATATCTGTTGTAGACTATAATTGGGCTTACCTGGTTCATCTTGGGAAGATCCTTGATTGTCTCCTTCTGAACCTCTTTCTCCTTGGCCCACATTCGAAGGTAGTGTCGATAGTCAGGGGGGCTGGTCCCCTTTTCCTCTATGAGTTGGGAGAAAAAGATTAATCTCCATCTGCCGAATGAGAGAAAGAGGGCTGGGGGCTGGCAGCAGGAGTGAGTGGATGTGGGTGTTGTCTGGGGTGGAGCTACGGAGGTCCTCTTACAAGACACCCACTATTTGGGGAGGTGGTGATGGAAAGAATGCCCATGGCTCTCCCACGCTGTGCTGATGTAGGTGTGACCTATGCTGACGAAGATGGCCCCGACCTGTATTCCCTGAGACACTGGAACCACATGGAAGCTGGAGAGGATGGCATGAGGAGGAAAGGCTGGCTGGACCACTGAGAGGGGCCCTGGCAGAAAGCAGGTCCCATGAGGGAGGTGGTGAGTGCCAGGGGTGTTCACAGCTACAAGAGACTAAGGCCTGGGGCTGTCGAGAGCTCGACTCCCTTCACAGTAACACCTTTCCCACAGGGACAGCCACAGAGTCAGACACGATGGGCGCACAGACCCCACTGGTCCTGGGGTCCCTACTAACGCAGAGCAATGACAACATCTACCTTCTCTTTTGTCTCGGACGTCCTCGTTGCCAGCTCCACCTTGTTCTTCCTGCCGTAGTGCTTCTGGACCACCGGAAAAGTAAAAGAACATTCTTCTGTTAGGACTGCACACTGCTGAGGTCCCTGGCCGGCCAGGCTCACCTGCCAGCAGGCCAGCCCCACTCATCTCTCCCTGCTCCCATTAAACCAGAGAGCCATGAAACCCTCGTGTGCTCTCTTTTCAAAGGAACACAAGTCTTAACATCTAGGAGTTTTTCAGAATCATCATGCATGTTATGGCGAAAAGGTGAGAATTAATGATTTCTGTAGTTTCTGCTGAAAAAGGTCAAACTTGGGAGTGCTAACTTACCAAGTCAACCTGCAATTACCACACTAGCTAATGGGGGAATTTTATGTATTTGGTGAAGTGACATGTTTGCTAGAGCTGGCACATGCTGTGCAACCTACAGTGACCATGAACTTGGGGAAAGCAGGCCACTCAACTCTCCCAAAACTGCTCCCAGAGGCAGTGTGGGTGTCCTCAGGCTGGACAGCAGCATCCCAGCTCTGAATGGCCTCACTGATGGGGTAGGCTGGGGAGGGGCACCTCTCTGGGCTCAGGCATCTTACCTTGGGATAGAGACCCACCATGAAAATGGGGCCTTTCTCTAGCTCAAGCCTAAAGCACTGTTGATCTGCCCAGGTTCCGAGTACAGATGGTACATGAGATTATTTAGTTGGCATATTTGAAATCATAGTCCTTAAGCTTCATAGTCAAGTTCAACTGAGCCTTTGACAATGTCAACAGGACTGCCCTGGGTATCTTGATACACAGTTTCAAATTTCCCTTCTGGGTCTATATTATCCCTGGTGAGTATCATTTGTCCCTAGAAATTACAGTGTGGAGTTCTGGTCTGTTTTGTGAGTAAGCTACACACTAAGGGCTGGCTCACCAAATCCCAGGCCAAGAATGGCCTATCACCCTGAAGCCAACACTTGAATGGGCATGACTTCCAGTAGGCACTCAACATGCATATTTTTCCTTAATGAAAAAGTTCTGTGTAGGGGAAGGAACACCACCATCCTGTGGAGAACATGGAAACATCTTCTAAGGAAAGCATCTGCTACTCTGTTCCACCTCCCTCTGTGGATTCCACACGTTTCACACTGCTGCAATGTTAGCATTTGTATTTTTTCCTATAAATGTGCAGGCAGATCTCCTGCACATGGTCACAGGGCTGACACCCTGGTGCTATGCCATGTCAGCAGAGCTGTGTGTCTCACACCCACCCTCTAGACAATAACAGGACCACTCCTCTCCTCCCGTCCATGGGAATCACCTCTGCTAGGGGTCCTCCACAGGATGTACCCTCAAGTGGGGTTTCTGGGACTAAGAATTTCTAGGCCTCCTGACCATACAGTGGTGTTAGGTAGATGAAGCCCAAAGTTCTGGTGAAGACCAGAACTAGGGGTGTGTCCCAGCCCCCAAGGACTGACCTTGAGCCTCCCAAGGCAGGAAAAGATCCAGATCTGAGGCCAGGGGAGATGCTGGAAGGGACAGCGGAGGAAGACGAGAGGGCAGAGGTAGGGAGAAGCCAGGATCCAGGAAGGCAGAGACAAGAGAAACAGGAATGAGAACACTGCCAGGGCCCCAGCCTGGACAAGGAGGCAGGGTCCCCTTGTCCTGGAGCTCTCTAATGCAACACATGCCTGAGCCCACCGCAGGGCCACAGGCCACCCACATGGGCCCCACAGCAAAACCTGGTGCTGATGGCTCACCTTCTGAGGAGCTGTCCTCAGTGAAAAAATGGGTGGCTTCCAGGGCAGACTCAGTCTCCTCTGGACTCAGCGCTATGCTCAGAGAGAAAGGAGAGTGAGGGCAGGAGAAAGCAATGTGATTCACACAAAAGCAAACCTCTCAGGCCCAGCATCCCCCCATGGCATGCCCATGGGTCCCAGTGCCCTCTGATATGGTGTGTGGTCAGAGGGGTAGCAGTGGCGGCTGATTCGGGTGACTCTCTTGACTTTGTATGTTTGTCTGAAACACAAACAGTATCCCTGGTAAGAATCCAGCCAGTGCAGACAGAGTCTAATGACCAGCCAGCCTTCTGCCCACCCCTTGATGCCAAGGCCCAGAGGACCCTGGGCACACACATAGAGAAGAGCCATGCACAAGTGACTTGCCCGTCTCATTTCACACACCGGGCGTTGTTCCACAGTGATTCACACTGCAGTGTGAATCGTGATTCATTGCGATTATGCAGCCCCCGGCCTCCGCTGTGGTACACCATTCCAGTGTGGGGGGTTATTCTCCCAGCTGTCCCAGTGGCACACAGTGAGAGGAAATGGGCAGTGTGTAGCACATGAGGGAGGTGGCAGGGTGTGGGCAGAGTTCCATCAGGGGCCTGGGCATCGCAGGGGATGGTTGGGAGAAGTGGGGTGGCTACACTTGCTCTCTTATGTAGGACCTCAGCCCAGCAAATCTGTCTCTCAGCTGAGTCAGATATGGTTGATACCAACCCTCCCAGGAGGGATAGCTGGGGCCACTATTCCGGTCACATTGTAGGGAAAAACCTGTCACAAGAGCAGAACTTTCTACCTCAGCAACACAAAACAATTGCCTGGAGAGTTATAAAATAGAACCTGGGTCCTGCCAGGCCAAAGTGCAAGCTTCTGGAGTTGAGCTCAGCACAGTATTCTAAAAATCACTGGAGTGACTCTAAGGCGGCCTCTGAGGTTCCAGGGGCTGTGGACAATAGCAGGGTCCCAAACAGCTCCATCTCAGAACCTAGGTTGAAATTTTCAGTTTCCTCCAGGGAAAACAGGGATATCGCTGCCTGGAATGACTCTCCACGTGGCTGTACCAGGTGAGTGTGCCCTGCACAGCAGGACCCCAATGACTGCAGGTTCTGTCTTCGACCAGCTGTCCCATTGAGTCACCAGGCATCACCATCAGTAGCCTGGGGCACCTTGAAGAGACGCAAACCCTACTCATGGCCGTGACAGGGCTCCCCAGGTCATACCTGGCCCTTGGCAATGCCCCCAGGTTGACCCTTGGGGGATAAACAAGACTTAAGGACAGGTTACTAACCACAGGGTCCTTGGTTTCACACGTGAGTGTCCAGTTATGCGACCCCTCCGAAGTTTTTGGTGGTGCTGTGACCCTCACAGGTCACAGCCCTATTCAGACCAAGACAAGCCAGGCCTCACTCCCTCCACTAGGCCTGGTCTCCAAGGCTGCCTCAAGGTCCAGCATCCCACAGACGCTTGTGCTGGGCCTTAGGATGCTACAGGCCCAGCTTTGGACATGTGTGAGGTTCCTGCTAGGGAGAAGGCTATTACCTGGGGGCAGGTGTAGCTTGTAGAGTGCCTTGAGCTTCTCTGTCAGGTCCCCATGGTACAGCCCACCTGTGGAGGAAGGCCAGAGAGGAGGCACACTGGTAACAGACTGTTGAAGACCTGAGACAGTCTGAATTTGAACAACTCCCCCTTCCAGTGGCTTCTGGCAGGACCCTCCTCACAATCTGATTCCCTCACAGAGAGGCCTCTGAGAGCAAGGCCCAGGTATCCTGTTTGTTCTCCTTCCCTAGGGTCTACGATCTGGCCTTTAGCAGCTCCAGGCTAACAGAAAGATGGGGGGAGATACATTGGAGCCCCATGTGTCTCCTGTGGGAAAACTGCCCTTTCTTTACTAAGGATCAAGGGCTCTGGGCTGCCCTCTGCTAGCTGCAGTGGAAAGACTAGCTAGGTCTGGACCTTGGAGGCTTCTTCAGAAAGGGCTAAGGGAATGGGCAGGCACTGCAGCCACTTACTGATCCCTGTCACGAACTCTTTGAAGTTGATCAGCGAGTCCTTGTTTTCATCCAGGAGCCGGAACATTCGTCCTGCCAGCACAGATGTGTGGGAGCCACAGGCCCAAGGTGTCAGGCTGGCGAAAAGATCCCGGAACTGGCTGGCGTCTATGCGGTACTGTTCTAGGTAGGGCAAGCTGGGGTCCCGACGCCCAGCTGTGGGGCGGCTGCTACCCCAGTACTGACTTGCCAGATGCTTGGCCTGCAAGGGACACAGTCTGGTGAAATGGCCTGAGTGCCCTGCCCCTGGACAGTTAGGATCATCAGGCTAATTGGGGTACCCACCTCCTTCTCCACCCAGGTCTGCCATGTCCCAGGGTGGGGAGTACTGGGCCTGATGCAGCAGCTCACAGAACCGCTCATGTTGGAGCCATCAGTCCCTCATTTACAGAGGGGTGATCTGGGACAGATCCTTGGGCACCAGGCCACAGCAGGCCTAAAGCTGCAGCATGGCAGCCACCTTGGGGGCTGAACCAGAGGAAGCTGGGAACTGACAAGAGCAAAATGGCAGCATAGACTTTTGTGCCTGCTGAAGAGAAAGCAGGCTTTTCCTTTTGTAATAGCGCCTGAAATTTTCTTGGAGAGCCCTCCCTGTCCTACCCTTAGACCAAGGGGAGGGTACATAGCCCAGATCTGGCCCAGTGGCAAATGCCTCCCAAAGCCACAACGCCTAACCTGAGTCAGTCTAGTAATCAACCTTAGACTTTTTGCTAAAACCATTTGGAAAGAAAAATTCTTTCCGCTGGGGTTCCTGAGAGACACGGATGATCCTGGATCTGTCTACAATTCTGCCATTCTGCAGGAAGAGCAGTCCAAAGGACATCTGAGGTGGGGAGAAGCAAGTTTGAGCACCCAGGTCCAGCTCACACCTGAAGCTGTGCTTTCCTAGACTCTTCACTTAAATGAGCTAATGCATTCCCCCTTCTGTATAAACTGGTGTGAGTGGTTTTTCTGTGAATTAAGTGTCCTCCAAGAATGAAATCACACCATATGAAGTTTGTGGTAACTGTAACTGAAAATGCTTTTAAATCTATTTCTCTTCTGCTGTGGTAGGGATACATTTAGGGGACTACGCTGGGGTTCTGGTCCTGCCCTTGCTTTGACTGTCACCTTAAACACCATGTAAAGGTCTTCCAGCTCTTCAATTGAGAAACCAATGTCTCCAGGTATAGCTCGGACCTAGAAGGAAAGAGAAATAGGATATATTGATGGATTCTCAAGTTCCTGCAATGGTAAAAACAAGATGCTCTTTGGGATAATGAGTACAAAGACATGAACTACCCCTCTGGTGTTGCTAACTGGCCCAGCACACAGGGTGGCCCACCCAGGAAGAGAATGTGGCTCACACATTCACTCTTTGGGCACTGTCTGCCCAGCTACTCAGTCAGGGAGTGCTGTCTGGATCCCTGGCACCATCTCTTTGGAAAGCATTCTAGACCTTCCCAGTACATTCTCCCTCCAGAGGTGAGGAAGGCAAAGGATTGTGGCAGTGGCACAGTGGGCTGGGAAGGGTGGAAGGTGTCCAAGTGTTGTCACCCAGGGGTAGGGGCAAAGTCGGGCTGGGAAGGTTCAGCTGGCAGCAAAATGGCACTTGGACTTTAGGCAGCTGGGCATCAGAGAAGCTGATGACCAAATCATGAGCAGAAAATAGTGATGGGGATCTTTGCCCACATTCCCACCTGTGCATCACACTTGGGGATTCTAGTCCCTTGCTGTGCAATGCCCTGCTCACCCCTTGGGAGGCACTGTGGCAGGGGCAGTTTCCCTGGGTCACCACCCCACCTTGCCTGCAACCTGGGGCCACAGAAGGCCTGCCCCCTCATACCACACTCCTCTTGGCTGTATCCTCCAAGGACTGGATCACTTTCAGCCTCTGTTTAAACCGCATCTGTTCGATGTCATCAGCACGTAGGCTGCTAAATTTCTATGGTAAGAGTGATGCCATGAGATAAGGTGGAGTTAGGGTCCAACACCTGCCAGCCCCTCATTATACCCCTGCACCGACATGCCCGGACGCAGGAACTTGACACAAGGTTCCAGTGATCACTGACCTCGTATGACACCTTTAGGAGGTCAAAGATGTCCACTTCTGCAGGGGGGGTATCCCTGCTGGTCAGCAGGGCATGGAGGTGTGGGATGGGAGGAGAGACACTCTGTTTATTGACCACGTTATCCAGGTATCTGCCAGGATTAAAGACAGAAGTATAGACCACTCATAGGTAGTGACAGGGGAGTCTTTCCCATGGCTACGTGATGTGGAGGGACCATTTCACAAGCAGGAGTGAGAGCTGGGCCTCTCCAGGAAAGCTGCAGATAAGCCTGACTGACTCCATGGTGAGGTGGAGATGTGCCCTGGTAAATAAGGAGTCCTCCTGGAGGCAGTGGAGAGAAGACCTCAGCCTGAGTACTAAATGAGGAAGCTAAGATGTCCTCAGGAACCCTTTATATGCCCAGATGCTTTCACTCTAGGAGAAAGGTCTACTGTGGCAGAAGGGACGTGTTCCTTCCCTCGGTGAGCTGCTAGGGATATGTGGATTAACCTAGCAACACTCAGGAAGCAAATGAGAAAGGTATGGAAGGAGTGCTGCTGTGGCCATGTCTGTGGGGACAGAGCTTTAGGACAGGGCCTGACTTTGGCTGGGCTTGCCCAACCTGGGCTTCTTGCCCTCACAGGCTCTCTAGGCTGGGCCTGAAGCTAAGGTGGGAGAGGTGGCTGGTTCCCCCCCATTACTCTGGTCAGGGCTCCATCCCCAGGGAGGCCTTCACTCATGAGGAGGAGCCCATCCATCTGTCTGGTGTGGGGAGGGGCATGAAAATCCTCTGTGATTCTGATGTGGGCTATATCTAGTCTTCCCTGTGGACAAAGAGCTAGCACCGTCCAGAACAGGGAGATGATAACCTTGTGGAATGCTAACCAGCACCTCAGCTGGCTCAGCAGGCAAGTGGCAGCATCCCTGGCTGTCCTGGGTGGCCGGGACATATTTCCAGGCCAGGCAAATATGTGCACACAGCCTGATGGGACTGTACAGAGCTCAGGGCCAGGTGAGAAGGCCAGGTGAGGACTCAGCTCCTGTGTACAGAGAAATACCAACAGCAGGGGGAGACCTCGTGTCCCAGGGTCTGACAGCAGAAAGAATGCTGTGGGATGCTAGTGGGCGAAACTAGTGCAGGGAAAACTATAACTAAGCAGGCATGAGGCCTACACTGCAGGGGTGTTGTGGGCCTACACTGAGGCATTGGAGGGTGGGAAGGGACAGCTGGATCCCAGAATCCATGATAGGAAGTGGGGTTGAGGGAAAAGGTGGTGGCCAGGATGACCCCGAGACATAGGTGTAAACAGTGGGTATAAGCTCCTTTAGCTCTTACGGCAAGCCCAGCATGGTGCCTGAGCTCAGGAAAACACAACCAGGCCTGTTTTATGGAAACAACAGCTGCCCTGCTATTCTAGCCACCTCCTATGCACGATAGGAGCCCTCAGCCCACCATGCCCTGGCCCACTCCCATTCTCTCTTATCCTGGTCTTATGGCTGCCCTAGTGCTGTTCTGTCCCCACTAGGAAGGAAGCTTCTTCTGCTCCCTGGATCTAGCAGGACCAGATTCCTGGTGGACACAGTCACTGAATGCTGGCTGGGGAGAACCCAAGGTTGTCCCCTGAGAGGCCAGCTTGGTCACCTGCCCAGGATGGTCATGGCCTCGCCCTCGTCCACACAGGCCAGCAGCTCCTCCTTGTTGGCATCCAAGATGGCCAAGGCCACTTGTAGGATCACCTTGATGCCCTCATAGAAGAAGCAGTCAACGATGACCACGGCACTCTCAAAGGGCATGACGCTGAGGAATAGGGTCAGGAACCAGGAAAGTGAGATGCTGGAGATGACCCCCAGGTCCTGCATCTTCTCAGAGAGCTGGGGTAGAAAGTCCCTTGTAAGCTCTTCAAAGATGCCTTGGTCCACCAGGGCCCCTAGGGAGAGGAAAGAGGAATCTGACTTGTGAGCCCATACCCCTGGGCTCTGGTTCAGGTGCGCCCTCAGGTGGGGCCTGAGAGCCTAAGGCTAAGGCCCCGCCCAATCTCTGGACAGCTCCACGCACACCGAGGCTACAGAGGCTGGGTATGTGGAGAAAACAAGAATGAATAGCAAGCTGTTAAATTTTCTTTCTACAGCTTCCAAACCATTGTGTGAAAAGAATGATTTCATTCATAAGACTTGGATTTTTGGGCCTCCCTGGTGGTGCAAGGGGTTAAGTCCAGCACGATGAAGCTATCGCCAGCCACTGCAACATGAGTTCGATTCCAGGCCAGGGAGCAACCCACATGGTGCAGCAGACCTCTCTTGCCTTGCCCGCTGCTCCCCTCAGCAGTGTATTTAAGTCAGTCTGCCTGTTCTGTTCCCCGGTCTGTCTCTGGTGAATCCTCTCACCTCCCCCCAACTCTGGCCTGTACCCCAGTTCTTGTATGTATAAATAAATCTTTAAAAAAAAAAAAAAAACTTGGATTTTTTTTGGGGAAATACAAAATTGTTCCCTAGATGCATCAGATTAAACCATGGCTGCAGGGGCTTCTGTGTATCCTGTCCTAAAGCTTGAGAACAGATATGATGCTAAAGATCCCCCTCCCCGCCTCCTTCCAAAAAATAATACATGAAGGCATCTTAGAATACCATCTTAATCACACACATAATTAAATACATTTGCAAACCCATTTCTACTTCATGACACAGATTCCACAAGTTACAGTTGAAGAGGAGGTACATAGCGGGTGTACTATACATGCTAGTTGTGATGTTTTTCTATAGTAAAAAAGTTTAAGAAGAGTTTGACCTGATGGGAATGTAGGCCCCAAGCACTTTTAAAAGTCACTAAATGTGTAACTTCTAACTCTCACTACCAGCAACTGGGGAATCTGCTGCAAGTCTGGGTCAGGTGGTTGGTGAGCCTGTGCCTGGCTCTCTACTTTGCAGCTGTGTGAGGATTTCTATGTATAGTCAGGAGCATATGTGGGGGAAATGCTTGTGCAGCTGGATGAGGGGCTGTCACCCCTGCTGGCACTCACCTACCACCCTGGTATTGTAGTAGTCAGGCAGCATGCGCTCGCAGAGAGCCACCAGCAGCCAGAAGGCCTCCTCCTCGCTGCCATAGAGCAGGAGCACTGAGGTGACGATGTTCATGGCCTGTGGGCACAGGGACAGTGAAGGGAGGTTCACAGAGCTGGCCACCGAGTAAAGCCCTTCCCTTGCCCCACAAGCAAGTTCCATAATGACAAACTGGCCCACCCAACTTGGCAGTTTGCCAAAAGGGGATCTGCAGGAAATCAATTTGACAAAATAGTCAGCTGGGTCACCCTAATCGGGCTAGCAGGCGCTGGAAGAGTCAAGAGTGTGGACGTGAATGCCGCACTTCTGCAGAGCAGTGTCTGGTGTTGAAGGTGTCACGCTGGGCCAGGTGGACGTGTAGGCAAGTTGTGTGGCACATAGCTATATGGCTACAGGGAGGCCATGGCAAGACTAGGATGGCACAGCCTCAGTTGATAGCAGGCTCAAAAGGAAAAGCTTCAACAGAAGTTATCTTCAAAATTATTTAAAGCTAATACACTGGCTTTCCATGCATTGGTCATGTGGAACATTCACTCTCCAGGAAGTGGATTTGCTGTGCTGCCTTGAAATCCACGTGTGGTCGAGGGGGTAGAGAAAGCCACTTGACCTGACTGATGAAATGTCCACTAGATTTAAAGTCAAATGTCACCAGAAATGCAAATCAAAGGTGCAAGATGGTACCTTACACCATTAGGATGGCTACTATCAAAACCAGAAAAGCAAGTTTGGTGGGGGCTTGGAGAGACTGGGTCCCTTATGCATTGCTGGTAGGAATATAAATTGTGCAGCTCCTATGGAAAACACTATGACAATTCAATAAAAAACATAGAAACAGAAATACCGTTTAATCCTGCAATTCTACTTCTAAGTATATCCCCAAAAGAAGTGAAAAGATGTGAGCAGATATTGCATATCCATGTTCATAGCAGCAGCATTCACAATAGCCAAAAGGTGGAAAAACCCCAAATAGTCATGAACAGATGAACAGATAAACAAAATGTGATATATCCATAAAGTGGAAGATTATTCAGCTTATAAAGGAGGAAAATTTTGCAACATGTTACAACATGGATGAATTTGGAGAAGACTATGCTAAGTGAAATAAGCCAGTCACAAAAGGGCTCTTACTGTATGATTCTACTTATATGAGATACCTAGAATAGTCAGGTTCATAGAAATACAAAGGAGAAGAGTGGTTGAGAGGGGGTGGGGGTACGGGAGGATGAGGGGTGTGCTACTTAATGGATACAGAATGTCAGCTTTGTAAGATGAAGTTTTGGGGATGGATGGTGGTGATGGCTGCACAGCAGTGTGAATGTATTTAATGCTGCTATATATTTACAAATGGTTAAGATGGTAAATTTTACCCCCGCACAGAAAACAAATGCTTCCAGAAGCACATAGAAGGCAACTTAATACGGTATGGGGATAAGTGAATAATTATCATTGTTTTGAAGTGTCTTTTTCTGTGGTAGGGCTTCCATTTGGGGGCACAGGGACTGAGGCCACCAGTCAGGTCCAGGGCCATGGGACCTGATGGCCTCTGTAGAGAAATGTTGTATTTGGGTTCCTGCCCAGTCCCCTTACCTGGCAGTAGCCAATGGTGGGGTTTCGGAAAGCATAGGCAGTCAGCACCCGCCGGAGTGCAGCAATCCCCAGCTCATTCTGGAAGGCAGGGTGCTCGGGCATGGAGCGGTGGAGGTCTCGCTCGATCTCCTCTGTGGCCAGGCTGTACTTCCCCATGGACTTCTCTACCAGATTAGCATAGTAGCTGGGATGGGTCACCATCTCATTCCAGGCCCCTGTGAAAACATGGGTAGCAAGTGTCTCTTTCTCTCAGAATTTGGAGAGACATCAGTGCACCACAGAAGAGAGGTGGAACTCAGGTCTGTTACTGTTGTAAGGTGAAGGTTCCCTTGTGACTGCTCCTGCTTCCACTCAAGTTGCAATGGCTGACTTGCCCTCTTCCTGAAACCCTCCAAGTGGTGAGTGTGAACACTGTCAAAGCTTGTCTAGAGGAAACAAGGCCTCAGAGGGCCTGCTTACCTCCTACTGTGGGTAGGAAGGGACCACAATGGTGACTGTGCCCCACGCTTGGTTTGCTCCTGCCATGGGCCCTGCAACAACCCCCTTACAGCTGAGAGACCCATTTTCACTGGCAGGGTTGGCAGCTCCCCGCTGACCAACTCAGAAAGTTGGCCTGGAGTCAGCCCAGCTGCCACAGGGAGGTCCATCAGTTCACCTGAGAAGAGGAGCCACAGTTCCCCGCGGAGGCTCTCAGGAATGCCCTTCAGCACCAGCTCCCGCGTTTTGGCAGTGCGGTACATGCACATGCCGCGCCCGTATTCAAAGAAGTGGATGTTCCATGACTCCTCTTTCATCTTCTCCTTGGCCTAGGGGAAAGGCAAACAGGGCTGTGGGTTCCACTTGGGTACTGAGGCCCAAGTGACAGGGTCCTCCTCTCCTCTTCCATCTAGACAATGCAGGACTGGTCAACTTGGATTTCCCAGAGTTCATAGTAAAACTGCAAGGAGTCCAGGCTGGGCTACGCATAGCACCTCTCTCGGACATCAGGAAGATGCCTCCCAGAGCAGAGGGAGTGCCTCCAAGCACGTCAGGCAGGGGGCCCCTCTCCCTTCTCCTGTATTGCCCATCGTCAGCCTCTGAGGGCTGAGGATAAGACTCACCCCCTTGGCTCCCAGCTCCTCCATGTACGTGTTGCCCTGGAAGAGTTTAAGCAGGCCCTTGGAAGCGGTTGGTGCCTCCTGTGCACGGGAGATCTGGCGGCCACTGAAGGGTGAGGACAAACTGGCCGGCTCTTCCAATGCCTCATGGGATGCTGGGGAAGACTGGAAAATACAACATGGGAGGAGAAGTGCCCTTGAGTGAGCTGCCCTTGGGATTTCTTTCTTTTTTTTTTTTTTTATGCATACAAGAGCTGGGGTGTAGGCCAGAGGGGGTTGAGAGGATTCAACAGAGAGAGAGTGGGGAGCAGTGGGAGAGACAGGAGAGGTTTGCTGCACCATGTGGGCCAGCTCCCCCACTGGGGATTAAACCCGTGCTGCAGTGGCTGTGGATTGCTTCATAGTGCTGAGACTTAACTCCTTGTGCCACCACGGAGGCCCCTTGCCGTTGGGGTTTCTAATGTGCACATTGGACACCTGACCTGGACCTGAGTCCTGAAGGCAAATGCAGTAGAGAAAGCAGCATTGGGTTTGCCAAGCAGACCATGCTACAGACCACCGCCTCTCTGGTCACGGGATAGCTATGCTGTCCTCCCTTGTCAAGCCCACACATGCAGGACAGTCTCTCATGGGAACAGGTTCTGAGGCCCATCTTATCAGACACTTCTCAGTAAGGTCAGGGCCAAGGAGAGAAGAAACCCCAAGGAGACCATTCCTGGTGCCCTCCCTGGGGCACATTCCCTGCTAGGATAGTGCTGCTGGCATTTGCATTAAGTGTCCTCAGGTCCCCAGCCATAGTGGTGCTGTCTCCACAGGGCCCACCTGCATACTCAACCACTCTCAACAGTGACAGGCTATAGGGGGCAGGAATGACACGGAGCAGGTTTTTCATCATTCCAGCAGATGGGTGAAGGAGGAGAGTCCTGAAGCCCTCAGCGGCTTTTCAGCTGTTTATTGGATTTACCAGGTACACAGCTGGCAGGGGAGCTGGGGGCCGGGAGGCTGGCAATGACCTGTTTGGGTTCTCCGGTAATCTCTGCTGCTCTCGTCGTTCTTCATGCTTCTCTGCTTCTGCTGGTGTCCCCCTGACACCGCCCCTAAAAGCCCAGTCTCAGCCCAGGTGAATCCCATCTACATAGGCCCACACCCTACTCCAGGTGCCCGCCAACAGGCATGCATTCGCGACCACGAGGTTCCGCCCTCTATCCTAATGGTGGGAGGGCAGAAAAGCCCGATACTTTTTACCTACCCTACACTGGCTCAGGTTGGGACTATTGGAAGAACACTAGGATCTGCTCTGGCTCCCTAGCCTCTCCTCCCCCTGGGGAGTCGAAGCATGAGCTGCACAGGAAAAGTGGAGCAGGCACAGGTGACGTCAGGCCTGATCATCCAGCAGGGCCCCAATTGAGGCACTCCCTCCCACAGGTGCCCTCAATGACTGCTGAGGAATGGAGTCCCCTTCCTCTCAGGCTTCTGTCCACTGTACCTGAAGGCCCCCGGAAGATAGGGGTTCCCAGGTCCTTTATTGGTTGATCACTGTCCCCAAGGCTCCCTGAGGTTGGATACCCTAGTTTAGGGGTCTGGAAACCTGCTTTCCCATTGTACAGCTAGCAGAGGGCAAGAGGAACAATATGGGGTTGGCAGAAGTAGACAGGGCATCAGCGACAAGGGCCTGAAAAGAAACCCTACTTTCTTTCTGGAACCCCTGTTCCCAGCCCTCATCTGCTAGCAAGGTGAGCAGGTTAAGTGCCTAGCCTGACAGCCCCAGGGCGGAGATCACAGTGGGTGGTAATCCCATCTCCTCAGGGAAGCAGTGGCATCTGTGTGTGATTACTGACACCTGTCCCTGTTCATATGGTCCCTGGGCCGAATGTGCTCTGCCTGCAGGTGCCAGTGGTTGTCGCCCATGAACAATGACCTGTGCTAGAATCTGGTCTGGCCCGGCATCAGAGCCAGCACCTGTGTCTGTCTATTTCCCCCTCAGTTACCTACCTGAGTGCCTACACGTAGAAACATGACTTGAATAGATAACGGTCACTGGCTTCCTAGAAGACACTTCCCTTTCTGCCAGCAGCACATCCCCATTACCTGGTGTAGGGTAAGGTGAAAGTATCAGGCTTTTCTGCCTTCCCACCATTAGGATAGGTGACGGGACCCTGCGGTCCTAAACACATGCCTGATGGCGGGCACCTGGAGTAGGGTGTGGGCTTATGTAGATGGGATTCACCTGGGCTAAGACTGGGGTTTTTTTTTAAGGGTGGAGTCACAGGGATGCCAGCAGAAAGAGTGAAGACTTGCTGGGGGTTGGGAGGCCTGCCAGCCTCCTGGCCCCTCAGCACCTCTGCCTGCCATGTACCATCCAATAGAAGCCTGCAAAAGCCACCGAGGTCTCCAGGACTTTCTCCTCCTTTACCCCATCTGCTGGATCAGAAAACCTGCACTGTCCCTTCCTGCCATTACAATTGGCGTAAGTTGGCAAGATGATCCATGCAGACAGGTATGGAGCCCTCCAAAGACCTGGATGGACTGAGAAGTAGCAGACTGTATACCTGTGACAGTGCTGGACGTTGTCATGGTGGCACAAGAAATGGACAAGGTCTGGGAGCTATGGGATGAGACCTCGCCTGGAGGAGGAGACACCCAAGAGCACCAGCCGACGACCCCCGAGGCAACAAGAATCATTGGGGAAGAAAGGACCACGATTCGGAGCTCACCAGTGTGGACAAAGGGAAAAGCCGATGAACATGGACTAATGGACTAACAATCCCGCCAGAAAGCAGGGGAACCTTGGCAGGTTGTTGTATTTTTGGGACCCTGAGGATGGATGGTATCGTTTAAAATCAAGGCATGTGGTCTCCCCTGCAGGCTCAGGCGGTTGAGTGCCGCACTGTGAAGCTATCCACAGCCTCTGCAGCGCCGGTTTGATCCTGGTCCGCTGGCGAGGGTCCCACATGGGGGGCAGACCTCTCCTGTCGCACCCGCTGCTCCCCTCAGCAGTGTATTTTGTCAGTCTGCCTGTTCTGTTCCCCTCTCTGTCTCTGGGTGAATTCTCTCACCCTCCCACGCATCTGGACTGTACCCCAGTTCTTGTATAAATAAATAAATCAATCTTTAAAAAAACAAAAAATCAAGGGTTGGCCAGTGGGCCTTGGTATAAGAGCCCACAGTGGCTGAGGGAGGAAGCCCTCGCCAAATTCTTTGCAGCCAGGCAGAGGAAAAGCGAACTTAGAAAAGCAAAAGCTGGTGCTAAGATTGAGAAGCCGTGAGCGGCTGATAAGCAGCCCAAGTATGCTGAAGACCATTGAGTCTCTTAATACCTGTGGGTGATGCCCGGATCGCTGTCGAGTGAGGGTGAGATGCTGAGGAACCCGTCCTTGGGGGACGGGTGGGGAACGTGGCTTGGGGTGGAGCCCAAGCCGAAGAGGGGACCCAAGAGAGGCCGCATGTGCAGTTTGGATCCCCAACCCATGTGCTTGTGCAATGGGTTGGCCTGAGTGCAGGGGTCTGCGAGTCGCATTGGTGGCTATGAAAGCCGAGTGTTGGAGCGACTGCAGACAGAAACCCTGAGGGCTGGCGATTACCCCCAACAGTATAGAATCGCCAATCCCAGAGTGAGTGCATCCCGGGGGTGGATGCGGGGTGTGGCTTGTGGCCGAGACCACAGCCAGAGAAGGCCAGGAAGCCCGATGGCTCCTCGTGTGTGACGGTAGATGCGGTGAATGGTCCCCTCCGTTGTATGAGCAGTGCCTTCGGCAGCCTAAGTGGCGGATCATCTGCTGGTGCCAATAATTGTCTTTTGCCACTAGGGTGGTGCCCTGTTTGGACTTATTTGTGTTCTGTTGTATTTTGTTATATTGTTATGTAGTTCATTTGCTTTTGTGGGCCATGGCTGCAGTGTTCTATTGCCAAGAGAAACGTATATGACTTGTATAGACTGTCTGGAAGAAAACCCTGAGGGCTTTTCTGCCCTCCCACCATTAGGACAGATGACGGAACCCTGCAGTCCTGATGGTGCGCACCTGGAGTAGGGTGTGGGCATATGTAGATGGGATCACCTGGGCTAAGATGGGTTTTTTAAGGGCGGCATCATGGGGACGCCAGCAGAAAGAGTAAAGACTTGCTGGGGGTTGGGAGACCTGCCAGCCTCTTGGCCCCCCAGCACCTCTGCCTGCCATATACCTGGTAAATCCCAATAAAAGCCTGCAAAAGTCATCGAGGTCTCCAGGACTTTCTTCTCCTTTACCCCATCTGCTGGATCAGAAAATCTGCACTGTCCCTTCCTGCCATTACACCTGGGAACAAAACTCTCCAACCCTGGCCCCACATTTTGTGGGATCCCCTGAAGCTTGGGCAATGTACCTGAGCTAATTAGCATTTCCTACTGTGGGCCCGAGGGGCTGAAGGGTGCAGCAGTGACCCACAGGTTATGTCAGGATGAGCCATGTGGATGCACAGGCAGTCACCACTATCCTGGTCCCACATGTGGCCTAGGAATGACACTACTTGCAGAAAGCAGGGGCACTGGTGCCTTCTGCAAATACTGCATCTTCCCTCTGCTGCTTACACAAGAATCCTCATCACAGCTGTGATGGTTTCAAATGGAATGCATTTAACAAATGCCATCAAACCATTCTCTTTAAAGTAGTATGGTGTGTCAGTTGTCATATTTGCCTTAGTAGAGTTGGTTTTAATAAGGAGAGCAAAAGAAGAAAAAAAAAAAGATAGCTACGCTAGTTCACAGTTCACCCTTCCTGCTTGACAGGCAGGTGTTCCCGGCAAGGCAGTGAGCTCGCAGAGCTGGACAGCTTTAAGTCTCTTTCTCTCTCCCAAAGTGACCCCTGTTATTTTCAGATGACCTGTAAACAAAATTTTCAAGAATTACCTCACTATATCCTTTCCCCCTTCTTTCAAGTTTATTCTTTTTAGGTCTGTCAGAATGTACTATGTTTTAAAAGTTATCTTTATAGTACCCTCAGGCCCTCTTTCAGATCAGTAGTTTCCCCATATTTGCACTTTGGCTTTTTGCAGTTTCTATTACTTGCCATTTACCTGAGGCCTGAAAACAATAATTTAATAAGATACTGAGAGAGCGTTCAAGCCCATCACTTATATTACACTATATAATTGTTCTATTTTATTATTTTTGGTTAGTCTCTTACTGTGCCTAGTTTATAAATTTTGTCTGATTTAAATTTTGCATTTAAGTAAAGGAAAAAAACATAGTTCAGTACTATTTGCAGCTGCAGGCATCCACCGGGTGTCTTGGAATGAATCCCCCACTACTACTATACTGTCAATTCCCTACTATGGGCAATGCTGAAATTAGCTAGTGGCCTTTTTCTTTCCTCTCCCATGTTTTCCCTGCTGAAAGATAATTGCAAGTGGTATTTTTAAAGTCAATTTAGGTAGTATTTTTACTTTCAGTTAATACAGCAATCAGCGAGCTCTTATACTTTCCATACCTTTTAATTTGTGTTTTTTTCATGTTTTTATTTGTCAATAGTCAGAACATATTTTACATACCATTTGTCACCTTTATTCTTGCTACCTACCACATTACTTCTATAATTGAATATATGCAATTCCTCCCCTGTCCCTCACCTCTCCCTCCCACCTGCCCCCACGCACCTAGTCTTATGTCAAAGCTTCTGCAATCATTTTTGGTTGTTTCAAATATGTTCTCAATTAGATTCCTCAACAGTGGGCGGCTACCCTGAATTTATACTGTTCTTGACTGCCTGTGTAATTTTGCTGGATAAATACTTGGTTAATAGCATTTTTAATGGTTTATCTTTATTTATTTTTTTTAAAGTGAATTTTTTTTAAAGATTTATTATTCATGCATACAAGAGCTGGGGTACAGGCCAGAGGTGGGGGGTAAGAGGATTCACCAGAGACAGAGTGGGGAGCAGAACAGGCAGACTGACTGAAATACACTGCTGAGGGGAGCAGCGGGCGACACAGGAGAGGTCTGCTGCGCCATGTGGGTAGCTCCCTGGCCGGCCCGGGGACCGAACCCGTGCTGCAGAAGCTGCAGATAGCTTCATAGGTTGTGTCCCAACCCCCTGCACCACCAGCGAGGCTCTGGTTTATCTTTAAAACATGATTTTATTTGTATGAACTTGTGCTATCAAAACATTTGATGCAGCTACTTTCCTTCATGAATGAGTGGTCTTTTTTTCACTTGCTGCCCAGAAGATTTTTTTAGTCTTTACAGTCCAATAGTTTTACTACATTATATCTTAGTATTGACTATTTTGTATTGATTTCCCAGATGTACAACATGCTCTTCCACCACACAGGTTCAAATCTTTTTTAATATTCTCAAAAGTTTTCTCAGATTGTGGTTTCTATCATCTGTTATTCCATGGTTCTGGTTTTCTTTCTGGGGGACTTGCATTATACATAATGCAGGACCTTCTTTGCCTGACTTATAACTTCTCTTGAATACATTTTCTCTCTAGTTGTTTGACTACCCTCCTACCTCCATTTTGCCGCATCTCTTCTCAATCCCTTACTGGACTTTCCATGTGTCTATTCCTTCTTGTGTTCCTGGCTTGTATAATATTCACTTCTGAAATATTTCTGTATTTTTTTCCTAATTCTTTCCTGAGTGCTTTCAACAATCTTTTCACATTATTCTTCTGACTAGTCACCTTGTTTCTGAGCTTTCCAAAAACTTTTTATAGTACTGTTCAGCCATTTCTATTATTTTTCTAATTCTTTTTAGATAATTTTGAAATATTATACTACAATTTTCATCTACTTTGGGGGACTACTGTTCTGGCGTTTTCATTGTAGAATTGTCTGTTTCTCCCTTACAATACCTTCATACAGAGTGTGATCACAGTCTGTTTCTGTTGCTCATATTTACATGACATGAATTTTTCTGCACTTTCAGCTTTCTACATGGGATAGATTTCTACCCTGCACAGCTGGAGGGCCTGTCTTCTCCTGTAGTCTCTTGATGGAGCATCCTTGCCAGCATTTCTGAGATCTGTCTCTTCTAGTGTCTGGCTTTTCTGTCCTTGATTTCCCCTGTCCCTCCCCTAGCACACTTTTCCTCAGGGACAGTTTTTCCCTTTTGGAAGGAAGTTTTTGCTGTGTTTCAGAACCTCTGGGCTTAGGCAGCCCTGCCATTCTCTGAGGTTTTGTTTGTCTATAAACTGGAGCCTGAGAAATCTGCCCCCAATTTTACTTGTTGTTTCTCAGATTTATTTGCTGACGTTTCTGCCCAATGACCAGTCTTTTCCGGAGGGAACGGGAGAAATTTTAGCAATTTCTGGAATCCTTGGCTTGTTGGACTATCTATTGATCTACAGAGAACACCACCAAACTCACCAATGGCTTCTTATCGCACTCAGAGTCAAAGGTAAAGATCTTCCAAGGGGTTGTGGGCTTTACCTGACCCTTCTTCCTCTCAATCTTATCTCCAACATTGATATCAGTTGCATCCCATCTGCCATTCTTTCTGCTTGGTTCCCATGATTCTTTCAGGTATCTGCCCAAATTCTACCTAATTAGAACCCCTCCTTCCCTCTGCTCTCCTGGCCCCTATCTGGCTTTACTTTTAACCATGGTCCTATCACCACCTGACCTGTTAGATGTTTATGTGTTCACTGTCACTCTCAGAAGAATACATGGCAAAGAGGGCATGGATTTTGTCTACTCTGTCCACTGCTCTATTTCTAGTGCCCGGAACAGCACCTAGCAACTAATGGGAATACAAGAATAGTGAGGATCCGGAAGGGGACCCATTTGTGCATGCTCTGGCCTGTCAAGCCCTGTCTTGTGAAGGCAGCAGCACTCCTGTTCCTATTCCATTTCTCAGAATCCAATCTCACCCCCTGAAATCCCAGATCAAGCCCAATCTCCTATAAGAAATCTTCCTTAATGTTTCCACTGCACACTGGTTTTTCCATATCCCTGCTGTTTTAGAGAACACAATTAACAGAATTCTAATCCATGTTGAGAAGGAATTAGAGTTACAAATCTCCAATACAGTAGCCACACGCAATTGAAATGCGGCGAGTCCAACTATAACAGTAAGTATAAACTACACAGCAATGTAGTTTACTCAGCAGTGACTACAGGGGCAGAATAAAGACATATAAAGGACTATAAAGGCAATAAAGGTCTATCAGGCCAGGCTACATAGGGCCCTGGGATCTGGGAAGGCACGTGTTGCCACTCAGCTCTGACTCACCATTTGTAGGAATGTGGGAACCATGATGCCAGAGCTTGCAGAAGTCAGATATGTGGCTTTTTACATGGACTCTTCTAATCATGGAGTATTTTCAGACTGACCAATAGTACACACATTGTATTATAGGAGGAAGGAAGTGATCAAATATGGCCAGGGTTGTGACAAAAGGAAGCAGGAACCAACCATTCTGTATGGAATGAGGATACAAATTGTCATGACTTGAAACACACTAAGTTGTTTTAAAGCTGCAAGTTCACAATTAAAAAATGAACTGAACACATTGAGAGAAAATCAGAAAACAATTTTAGACATTAAAAAAAATTGGTGAATAAAAAGGCAAGAATGGAAGACTTATTCTGTATTCCCTATGTGAACAGTGCTTCAGGACTCCTGAGGGGAAGGTTCTCATTCTGGAGTATTCCAGCTAATAAACAGAAGGAATGACTGAATTGGAGAGTCACCATTTCATAGTTCCTAATGAATGAGCAAGTCTAGGCAACGCTCCCCAGGGACAGACAGGTCTGACATGTGGCAAGACTGCCAGGTGTGACGTCCCTCTTGGAAGCACTGACACTTCAATTCTGCCCACAAGTAGACCTGCCCCCCCGCAAGGCACAAACAACTGAATGGGAATGTGGCCTGTAAGTTAACCACTAACTTAAAGGAAACAGGGCACAAAGGCACCTGTTAAATGCCTCCAGGGGATATAATCAGCAGCAAAAAAAAAAAACCAGACTGAGAAACTATGACACATATGACTCCATTTCTTGAACAAATACAAGGGTGGGGGGGGAAGGAAATAGAGATGGAGCAGAAATCTACAGATAAAAAGAAATTTAAGAGATATATTAACAGGCTGAAATCTATGTATCAATCTCCATGTACCTCAAACTGTAAAATGTATCAATATAGCTGCATTTGGGGAAATGTGAATACAAGTTATTTGATAGTAAGGATTATTATTGTTAATTTTCTATTAGAGGCCACCAGTGACTCTCAGGACTGTGGGGCAAGATAGGGTGTAGAGAGTTCTGTGACCGCAGGCAATGTGTGTGTGGCTAGGACACCCAGACTGAGGCTGGGTTAGGGTCTCTACCCAGATTCCAGCAAGGAACCTGTATGCCCGAGACTCCACAAGCATCCTGGGAGTCAGGCTCCAGCACAGAAGGTGATGGCTGTCTGGCCTCTTCCTCTGGCCTTGACCCCCACCATGTTGACCCTCTTACCTCTGGGGCCGAATCCACTGTGCTAGATTTCCTGCTCCCACTGCTGCTGCCCAGCTGCTTGGGGTGATGTTTTCTGAAGGAAGTCAGAGATCCTCTGAACCAAAAATCACGGTCTTTTAGGTTGGCAAACAGGAAGGTCATTTGCTCTTGGTGCTTATGGACAAAGGGCTGGGCAAGACACTGGAGCTATCAGCTTTTTCGACAATGGTCACCTGAGAAGGTAAAAACTCTGTCTTGAGCATATGCATATTGAGAAGCTGAATGGTTTTGTGAACATGAGCACATTGAGACCTCAGTTGTCCTCTCTCAGACACAGTAAGGAAATGGACACAGGACTCTGCACATGGCTGGATTCATAGTCTGACTGCCTGGGGACCCTGACCTTGAGCCAGATATGTGCATGTCTCAGTTTTGTTTCATTACCTGCTGATGAGGGAGAGCTCATGGGCCCTGCAGGACCATCATGAGGTTGTGATGCAGAATGTAAATGCTGAGCCCAATGTTGGTCCTCATCAGCCTCCCTAGATGGCTAGTTACCCCACCCTCTGAAGTGCAGTGGGCAGCCTGTGCACATGGTCTGAGCACTGTTCCTGGAACATTTTCTGACAGGTGTGTGTTCTGGGTACAGCGCTGACATGGAGGCATGTGGACAGCCACACAGGTTTAGAGGGCATAGAACAAGTTTTCAGGGGGCGCCTCCGCAGAGTCTATATCCTGGGGTGGGGAAAGACAGACATGAAGGCTTAATGCCCACAAGACCGGACTGAGGGGATGTGACAGCACAAGTGGGGAGGCCACTGGGCTGCTTCTTGCTGAGGCACCTCTGGGAAGGTAGCAACTAAGTGAATGAAGACCTCAGACTTGAGGACTGATCTGGTGCAGTCAGTTGGGGAGCTGCAGCAGAAATCCAGCAACCACCCAAGACGCGCACTAGATTGGCCTGAAGGACAGGGAAAGGCTGGAGAAATGGCAGCAGAGTAAGTGGGGTTGTGGGTATGTTGAATGTGTGAATGTGTGCTGTGTGCATGTCTGTTCAGGAGTGTGGTGTGTAAGGGTATGCATAGGCATGTGTGGGCATGCACGTGCATGGTGCAGTGTGTGTATATGTATGTTGAGTGTATGATGTGTGTGAGATTGAAATGCACACACGCACATTTGCATGTGTGTATATGCACAAACATACGTGTGTATGTATACACACATGAGTGTTCAGGGCACGTTGAATGTGTGTGTGTGCAGTGCGTATACACGTGCATATGGCGTGTGTGTGCATGCTGAGTGTGCACATGAGGCTATATATCAATATATGGCTATGTGTGT